ATGTATATATAGATGCAGATGAATTTGAATATTTGTATAGATATTAAATGAGAACTCGCCGAAGTAACAGCATTTGTCTTTGTTTTTCATTCCATACTTAACACTAAAAATCGCATAAAATCTTATAACACAATTTAAATTTGCAGCTAATATTTGGACAAAAGTAAACAAAAAGTAAAAAAAGCTAACGAATTGTAAGAAAAAGCTAAGAAAAAAGCTATAAGCTAAACAGGATTTTTCCTGCTAAACCCAAATAAAAAAAGCTAAATCTAGCCGGAAAATAGGTAAGATGGCAACACTGGTTAGAATGCCGACCCCTGCTTTAAACTATGCTCAGAACCCGATGAGAGTGCAATATGAGAGATGAATTAATCCTCTAAGTCAGTGGTTCCCAACTTTTTCCAACTGGCGACACTTATACATATCGTCACCCTTATGCCAGAAACATGAATGTGCAAAGATCAAAACTTTAGGAAATCAAGTTTAAATTTTTTTTTTTACGAAATTTAACTCTACTTTTATGCAATTGAAATTGTAAAATATGTGGTTTCCGTGTACGCATGGTGTTATGGGTTTTGGTATAACATAGAACATCCAAAGGTTAATCAAGTCAACACAATAACTGAAAACTGACGATATGTAGTAATACCTCCACGGATGGATAAAACTAATTTTACCGGGAAACAAAACCTTGGGTGCTTGATATCAATTGTTTTGAACTTTTCATTTTCAGTTTAGTAATGTTGAATATTGTCAATAACAGGACTGTAAACACTTTTGAAATGTCAGAGCAATATTAAAGAATCCTTGTCCAATAATAGTTAAAAGAAAAGAAGAATAACTTACAGTATTATTTAGTTTACATTTTTCAAATATGAAAGATCTGTTGGCAGACATAAAGTCTTACATGTAAAAATTGTACTTGCAATTAAAAAAGTTAACTATCAAAATTTTAATCGCAAAAAAAAAACTTTGGTAATGTTATGCATACATATTTCTATTAACTATTATTATGGATGAGCCCATGATACAAACGGGAAGGTAGTTTCAATAAACAACTTTTGACGGATAATAAAATTTTTTGAAGCTTCATAAATTGTGAGCATTCTCAACGGCCTTGCCATTTTGATAATAT